CGCATGTCAACAATGAATTGAATGAAGACAGGAGTGAAGGAATTCCTATGTCGCCCATAAGAATAATATATTTGTGTATTAAAATGAAAAATTCTAAAAATTATGTCTTGTATAAAAAATAGCGCTATGAAATTTCAACCCGATTATTCAACCTTTTCATGTGTCCAAAGAGGGTTAAATTTTGACTCATGAGGGTTAATTTTTTTCATTTACTTTAAAAATTATGTACATATTTAATAAATAATGAGTGTGTGTGTGTGTGTGTGTTGTGTGTGTGTGTGTGTGAGTGTGTGTGTGTGTGTGTGTTGCGTTGTTCCGGTGTAGTTTGGTTAAGGTCAATACATAACAGTCAAAAAAATTTACTTATGTCATTTACTTAGAATATAACTACTTATTAGGTCCGCCTGAGTATAAAAGAGCGCAAACAGAATTTTTTGGCTTAGGCTCAGTGACCTTTCAAAAAACAAATAAAAAAAGATAGCATAATCTTAACTTTTAAAACGTATAATGTACCTTTATTTGACTTACTAATTAACAATTATTAATAATATCTAATGATAGAAATATTCGTTTATGCCGGATTCAAAAAAAAAAAAAAATGATTAGTTGAATATCTTTTATTAGTCAACTATTGTGATATAGTGATATGAGTTTATATTTTTAATGTTTTCATTGGTGAACGAGGGAGCCCCGAAAATATAACACAGCTAGTGCCCAAGTAGGAATCCTTGCCCCCCTGCGGTAACGAGACCGATCTTGGCTACTAATAATAACTACTACAAATACCTATATATATTTGTACATATTATATTTGTATAAGCCAAACTGTTGAGTCGAGAATACACTATTAAATATAAGTTTCAGTATTGAATTAAAATATAAATTTAAACATTGGTTGTGTCAGTGACCTGGACTCTGCTAGTTCTACCGATCTAATGTCAAATTATTTATCTTTATGCTACAAGTGGAACAAGACGAGTAGGTAGATGCAACAGAAATACTACGTCAGAAAATATATATACTAATAGTATTCAATTATTATGTAAATAATATTGTATATTTCTTTTAGATACAACTATCCATGTATTATCTTTTTGCTAAGTATATACTACGAGGACAAAGAAAGGATATACCGGTGTAAGAAATTTGATTTAATTACAGCAAAAGGGGAAAACTTCGTTCTCAGGTTACTCATCAAAAAGAAACCTTTCGCGCAGACTGCAGATAGACTTCAGTGGCTGTGGTAGCCAACTGGAAAAAGTGACAAACTATTAGGTTATATAAACATCTGGGATGTTGAGCGATTATTTTTACAACATTTGAAGTCATAATTTTTGAAAAATAAGTGAATTTCTAATGGTAATAGGAAAATTATTCTTTTATTAGTTGAATCTTATTTCTTATAAAATATATTTTATTTTTTATAATTGCAAACAACTGAAGAAGAATATTTTTTCTATATGAATACTCCAATAAAAATTACAAAAAGTAAACAAAGAGTAAAGATTAACAAAAATTGTTTGGAGTAGGTATGATAAGATACTATAGTAAAAAATTTAAAATAAAATTCTCTTTTTTCATAAAATTAGTATGTTTTAAGTGTAAATTATACAAATATTACTACTTCAAAAATATATATTATGTCGACCAAAACGCAATGAACAAGCTGAACTGTTAATAAAATCATACATCATCATGTGATCAGATACATAACGCTCTGCAATCTGTAAAGTAATTATTTTAATTTATAAATCTATAACCTTCTATCGTCCAGTGATCGTATCCAACTGTAGCACGTAACGCATAATGTACGTGTTGCAAAATATTATCATAATCAAAAGACGTGTATACAAGCTATTCTATCTATAAAATTGTACACAACTTTCCATCGATCATCAACAGCTATCATTGTGGTTGACCTGACCACAAAGTGTGACGTGATGACTACTTTATGGTACAGTAAGTCTGTTTGTGTGTATGTGTGTGAGTGTGATGAACCGAAGAAACAACGCATGTACAATATGGTGAGTCCAACCGGACCGAACAAAGAAAATTATTATAATATATCCTCTTGTTCACGGTCCGTTTACAAGTGACCCAAGGCTTCATAATATAATACAAGCATGATAGATATATGCTACATAGCATGGGGATCGGCCGGTAAAAATAAAAATATTATCTCCTTGTGCGTATGATACATAAAAATAGGCATGCACTAGCTGATAGCACTGCTGCGACTAAGTTTGCAATCGGTTTTTTAATATTATACAAAGAGAACCGGGCATTAAAGTTTCCACGATAAGTATACCACCTCCGCATAGTATTGACTATATTATATAATATTATATTAGAAAAATAACGATTCGTTCAAAAATTTTGGAAAAAACGATTTTATAACGTTCGACATTTCAATATATATGTGTGCATTATACGATATCGTAAATGTGTACGTATTTATATTGTACTATATAAATTGTCATTTTCACGATCGCTATGATTCATTAACAACGGTCAAATGGTATTATAAAGAACGTATTACGTATAAATTTATTAACATATAAGAACATCAAAAACACGGTAATAGGTGAGGCTATTTGATCGATTTAATTGTTTATGCTTTCCAAATACAGAAAATATAACTATTTTAAATTGTATAAATCTTTCTTACCCTACTCCGTTCCTGTATATCTAAAGTTATGAGTGATGTTTTTTTCTCGTAGTCATATCTGTCTTGGTGTAACATATACTTTATGTATTATACATATACATACATATATATATATAAGCAAAACTTTAAGGACCGTGATAGCCAGGAATAGTCTAATATTAAAATTAAAACGTACACAAAAATCACACTGGCTTTTATACTTTACTGTTTATAGTATTATAATAGTATTATTTATGAATCAGGGTGATCTTTATACAGCGTTACAATTTTCATTTAGAACCATTTCTATGGTTGAGTTTGTTTACAGTTAAGCTTGGAGAGTAAAAATATTAAGTGATTACAATTTAAAATGAATATTATATTTATGATTATGTGACGGGAAAACGTACCAACAAGAAGGAAGTTATCTGTAAGATCACTATATGTATATAACCTCTAGTATACGATCAAGTTGAATAAGGCTACTACAGAGTTACATTCGAACTAACACATATTAATTGACCGGTAGACGATACAGTCTTTAATTTTTTAGGGCGTAAGTTAACTTGGATAGTTCAGACTTAGAAGCGAAAGAGAAACTGACGTCTAATAATGATCGTACGATTTTTATTGGTAGAATTTGCGATCAATACATTTTGACGAAAGTCTATTCTGTGAATAACAAAAAAAAAACTGGTTTTGATGTTCTCGATCTAAACTATTTAATATGAGATCGCAAAAGTACTACCACCGATGTAAATATGAAAATTATATAGGTACAATTAAATAAGTTATTCGAATTTAATGGAAAAACGAATGTGTATAATTCATTAGAAAATTATATATTAATAAATCATATTCTATAAGATGAGACGAGAGGAGACAAATGCAAAAATAATGGTTATGAAAATGAATGTTAACGGAGAAAAAAAAAGAGGAAGATCAAAAAATAGATGGTTGGATTTGATTGAGAATGATATGAAGGCCATTGATATGTGCGTAGAAAATCGAGACGAGTGGAGGTTTAGGACAAGGGTAGTCGAGTAGCCGACCCCAAATACTTGGGAAAAAGGTGAAAGAGAAGAAGAAGAAAATATATATAATATATATATAATTAAAAAAATAAAAATGTAAACATTTATATCATATTCTATAGAACTTGGTATTAGTAGACCAAAAGTTTTTTTTATTATGAAAATCTTATTTTACAACTGAGAATTTTTTTTCACTTTTTTAAATTATTTATGCATATTTTTTTATCTAAGTATTTTTAATCAGAAAATTGAAAATTTACCAAACTATAGTATTTTTTAATATGTTTTAATACGTTTTAAAATATTTTTCAGGAGAGATTCAAAGATTATGATCAAACTGCTTGATTTAATAATTTGTGCAAATGAAAACCCCTTTAGTTTTTTAGGAACTTATACGAATATGGAGATTGCTCAATTTTTTTAAATGTCATGTGTATTGTGACATTTTCTCTCTCGTAGTGACTGATAACTGATGATACTAGTATTCCTGATTTATCCCTTACATTATTGTCATAATACCCGATATTGCACACTGAATTGGATCAATTTACTCTTATATCATTAATGTTTCTTTTTTTTATTAGTTTAAGACATGTAAATCATTAAACAAGTAGATGCCGACTCGTGGTTTACAATTTTATAACATTTTTGATATCTATAGGTATGCGTATTATTAATCGAAATATGTACAACATTAAAGATTAAAAATGATCATCCAAATAACAAGGAATATTTTCGGACACAAAAAAGCCAATCAATAATCTGTTAAGTGTCTGTGATCACATGTATAATATAAGTACATATATTTTATTTATAATCATTAAAATAATTATTCTATAAGATCGGTGAGAATGCCAAAAATAATTTTTTAAAGATCAAAATAAGTAATTATTTCAATAATGATTTTCTACACGTAGTTATAACCAGAGAAACTATGTAGAAAATTACTTCATAATATTTTGATTTAATAATTTAATGATATTTGCATTATTTTACTATAGTTCAATAATGTGTAGAGGTCAGAAGCATGTATTGATTTAATTGTATTTATTATTATTAGTTATTATCCAAAATGTATAAACTATTATTGTAACGTAAAATATATTATTTTATATTTTTAGGTTCGATGGGTAGTCGTTATGCGTGTACGAATAATTCGTCCATGTCTCAACAAAACGTTATGCGGATGGCTATCGAAACTCATGTGTAAAACCGTATCAAGTGTTATTATCGCGAAAGAGAGCGCTTTAGTCCAACCGCGGCGAATTATTCCCACGAGGGGTTCTCGACGTTCGTATAAACCACGTACAATGCTTCAGCAGCACGTGTTGGATCCGCACGCTATCCAGCCAGGAAGTGCCCTGCACTGCAACAATGCACTTGTCGGCGCAGTGGTTTTTCACAGGATCGTGCGCTCCTGGTGGTTCCGATCGTTTTACTTTTCGTGTCATTTCATAAACTGCAGTTAGTTCGTACGAGTGCAAGTGCGAATGTTCGATTTCGATGCAGACGCTTTGTGCGGATTTTCAAAAAGCCGATGGCGACGGATAGTCAGTCCGTTACGCTCGAAACCGTGTGTTGATAGCTCGCGACATCAATACGACATTTGCACGCGTATGCGAGTGTGTAGTACTTTAGCGTACGAAAAATGGCGGAAGTGTTGAGATTGCCGGAGGACAAGCAGTCGTGCATGATAATGCCCAAAACCACCAGACAAAAAGCGATTAAACTCGGACGGAGTTTGGGGCGCAAGAAAGCCGCGATCACCAAAGCCATTGCAGACAGTTGGCACAAAAGAAAAGCACGTAAAGTCAGACCGTAAGTTGTTACGATTTGTTTAATTATTTTTTCGTAAGAGCGTACCGTTACCTATATTGTCAACGACGGTTCATACATATAATTAGAAGCTTAAAGTAATATTAAAGGATAATAGACGGCAATAGGTTTTAAACATTTAATGGGTATGTCCAAAGTATATTCAAAGCACGTTCGTGGAAATTAAATAATAATTGAATAAAATCGCTATTACCTAATGTGTTGTGGCTGCAGTTATAGATAAAAAAAAACCATATTTTTATAGTTTATAATAATTTCATGTTAATTGTTGACGGTCGTTGAGCGTCTCCGGTGATTATAAATCTATTCGATTTTAAAGTCAACGTGAATAGTTATAATGTTACGACGATATGCTATTTGGATGAATTCTATACAGTAGATATCAGTTTGATAAAGCTAATTGGAAAAAAAATAGCACTATTATTATGTATTTTATTTGGGCATTTAAATGTGGACATACGAGTATAGATATTTACTAGTCCTAGAGTAGCTAGAACAAATAACATATTACGTAAAATGACTAGGATTGTTTATCAATTATTTCATTATTTGACTTAGTATGTGTATATAGTATTATTATAGTAATATGAATACTGGTGAGCAAATGAAAGCATGAACGTTACTATTAGCAACAAGATTAAACATAAAGCTACAAACTTGTTTTAATCAATATATTTTCCAAAATTATTTTATAATGCTTAATGGTGTATACTATTTACAATTTATTTGTGTGAGTATTAGGTAAGGACGGTGATATTCTATGTAATACGATTTGTCGATTGTATAATCCGAGAAAATAATTAGCTATAGCGTATTTAATTCTTTCCAAACTTTTAAAAATTATTGACCTAACCCAATTTTCTGCATTATAAACACTGGATAGTATAACTTAAATTTTACATTAAGTTGTAACAACGGGTCGAACGAAATCGAATAGTGTTTCCAAATTATGAAGTTTTTCCTTTATATTAGAAAAATTGTATCAACATTAGAATTATCACTTTTTTATATTTAATGAAATACTATGTTTGATCTAGACACAGTAAATTTACTTTTCGATTAAAGTGTGCCATAATTTTTTCCATAATTTATATTCTTGTAACGGATAGTAAAATAATGATATCTAATTCGATCTAAAATGTTAACGAACTAAGAATTATTCATAATCAGTTAATTAAATAGCGAATATTTTTTCTATTGTTAGTTACTATTGGAAAACCATTCATGAATCATAATTTATATGTAAATTATACATCAATGATCATGGGTTAATATCAGTGGCAGATTTAACAGTCTTCAATTGTCAACAAGGTCCGAAGCTTAATTAATATTATGCAACACCTTTGAGAGTTCATTAGATTTTTATAGTTCTGTAAAATGATAAAACCATTAAAACATATTTTATCAAAATAATAATTAATGTTATTATTTATACTAGTACTTAAATATTTATAATTCAACTGCCAAGATCGTATTTGAGTTGATACCATGGGGGGGGGGAATAATTTTTCATCAATACAAAATTAAAAATAATTAACAGTTCATTACAGGGACGTACCTAAGGGGGGTTTTCGGGTCCGGACCCCCCATTGAAATTTCTACATACTCAATGGTTTAATAGTGCATTTTATTTTCCCATTATCTTAAATATATAAATTTTACAGATTATATAATATACCTATAATGTATAAACCATGTTTAATTTATAGGTACTGATTTTTTAATATTATTTATTATTTTTAATTAAATAATGTATTTTTTTATAACATTTTATTACCAAATAAAAATTTATTTCAAATTATAGTACCTACCTATTATAGTAAACCTTTGTGCAGAATATGTGTGATGTGTGTATAACTATTGTGACTATTACTATAGTTATTAACAGTAATTTGTTGATACAAATAATCATAGTAATAATAGTACCTATTAATTATTTTTTAAAAACTTTAAAAAACAATTAAGATAGATAACTTAATTTAACAAATATCTAAGTAAAAAACATAAGGTTGGTAAGTAGTCAAATAACAAATTCCAAATTTCTTTTTTTCATTTTGGCAAATTTTTTGATTGTTTCATCAATGGGTACAATAATATTTTTATGCACATGCAGAAAAGCCAAACCTGTTAGTCAATGCTGGCCTATTCTTGATCTTAACCATGTTTTAAATTTACAAAATATATTTTTGGCCAATATTTGCAAGTTAAAGAATATGGAAACAAATATTGTCAGTTATTATGATTATTATTTGGGTTAGGGTATTCTAGCTCTATAAAATGCACAAATATGCATGAATTTGTGTATAAAAAAAATGAATAAGTACCTATGCACAACAAAAATTAACAGCTATTATGTTGTAAAAAAAAACAGGCGAGTAAAATTATTAAGGACTTATATATTTCTAATAAATACCATATGCATAAATGCACCAAAAAATGACTAACTAGTAAATATGTGGTAAAAATGTGTTACTTTAAATTACTTTATATTATCTGATAAATACCTCGGTTATGGTTGTATATGTCTATAACCGTAGTAATATCTGTGGAATACCACTATTCGCTCCACAACCAAAAATGTTATGATATATGAAGATAAACAAAAATTGATACCCGTGATCAAATTGACATTATTGAATTTATTATCATATTATAATGATAGATTAGTAATTTATATTATTAATTATTTATGTATTACATTATTTAAATAAATCAATGTATTATATTAAAAAAAAAATACGAGTCATGGGGGGGCGAATGCCCCTTCGCCCCCTCCCTCAAATACGCCCTTGTCAACTGCATTCTATGTAAAGTTCTTTTATTTTAAATATTTTATTGTTACATATAATATTATTATTTATTTAAGCATTTGAAAATAAATGTATAAATTAACAATTAAGAATTCTATGTTAATAAAAATCAGTGTTATTACTGAAGGTTAAACAGAGCGGTTAATTATTTATTGCTTATGTTTTACAAATATAATTTAACAATTTAATTACTTTATTTATATGATAAGAAATCGAAAATTTTACTTTTCTTAGTTTTTTTTTATAAGGATATTAAAATGTTAAACATGGAAAAATTTATTGTTCAGGCAAATTTAATGAAAATTATTCCATAAAACGTTTTAATGATCAAATTTTTAGGTAGTAAATCTGCACCAAAAATATCTTACAATATTTTTTTAGAATATGTAGGTATAATACATTTTTAATTTTTAAGTGAGATTTTTGTTTAAAATAACTAATAAATACCCATTCTTAATTTTGTACTTCAAGACTTGTGATTTTTATACATACAAATAACACAATATTATTTTATCACGTGATATTCATGTATTAGACAATTTAAATCACTATTACAGTTTACATATAATATAGATATTTAATGCGTATATTTACATTAGCTCTTTGTTCGAGATTATTTATCAAATTCGATGCTTTAATATTGCTTTTAAGTGTTCTAAAATAATAACAAACGACTAAAAAGAAACTCTACAACCAACAAAGGATAGATTCTAGAATTCAATATCCTTCGGACTATTTTACTATTAGTTTTGTCTTTTCCTACACTATCTTCTCCTAAACGAAAATCGTGTAAAATCCTGTAGTCGTGTTGTAGGTACAGGTACCCCCCATTTGCGCACTATCATCCATCATCAACGTATACTCTAAAATTGTAAAGAAAAAAAAATAAGGTGGACCCTTTGTTAATTATATACAATATAGATTCTGTAAGATGTTCAACCTACAAAACAGGTGTTATGGGACGCTTGGCTTATACTACGGGCATATGAGATTTATTGTTGAATTCCACCCTAAATTGTACTGCAATGAAACTATTTATTTCGTCAATTGAATCTGAGTTAGGTACTAAAAAATAAATAAAATACAATATTCAAATGATATCACGATATATAATTACTTATACACGTAGCATCAAATGTTTGACGATTAGTTTGCAAATAATTTATAATGCTAGTTAATCTGTATGAGTTAAAAAATTTTGTTTATTATGTGTATAAAACTAAAACTTATGCATTTAAAAATTTCAGTTTTAAATTCATATCTAATATTTCGCGATTGAAATCTCAGCATTTTATTGTAGAAATTAGAGATCAACATTGCCTAAAGAAAATAACCCCTACAGTCGGTAGTAGGTACCTAAGCAATAACTCTAAAACCATATCCAATTAAAATTACGTTTTTGAGAGGGTAACAATAATTTGCAGCATCGATAGCACATGTAATTTGCGCCACCTCGTAACTTCTCATATTGTAATTTGCCCCATTTGTTTAATAACGCCTACTCAACCAAATTATATTATAAGGAATTGATTTGTATGTTAATACATATTTTATAATTTAGATACTTTGATTTTTATAGATACAAAATCTGTTTTGTTTCAGCTAATATTTATAAATATTTTTATTATTCAGTCACAATTTACAAATGTTAACGTTATTTATGTTAAAAATGACGATACACGACTCGGAATATAATATAAGATAAAATTAACGTACTAGGTATAATGACTAAATGATGAATACATTTTTTGTGTGGTAAATTACATAGTACCCTTTGTTATCGGTTTCGTGGAGCAATTTACATACGGCTCTTTAAGACAGTGAACAAATACTAGGTATCTAGTACGATCATCTTTATTGCGAATGAATTGAAAATTGTAATAAATTGTAAACGACTTCTCGAGGTACTTTTATTATAATGTGCGTGAAACAAATTTATAGTATCCACCAATTGGCTTGTCATTTTTTGTCTAAGATACGAAATACGTAAATGTTATGTTATGTAAATGTTTCCGATGGTCAGCCCTTCAGTACTTGGCACAACATGTAAAACAATAACACATTTGTATCTTATATATTATATGTTTATATTATCGCAATCATATCGTATGTCATTAAGATATGACGTTTTGTGTACAAATTTAAATTAATCAAAAATGCGCCAAGGTAATT